AATGTTGTATTTCATTTCCTTTAGATTATTAATAATACAGTGTGGTGAGCTGAGCTCTTCTCATATCGGGGTGTATTTTAGCGAATTCTTTTTCCTCTCCTGTGCAAATGCTAGGCATCTTGGTAGTAAGAAAGTTGGCATAACTCCTCCCTTTAGACCAAAAAAAAAAAAAAAACAACAAAACCATGCATTCCTTTGTGACCAGGCTTCAGTGGAGGCGAGTATAGGAGGAGTATAATGAACAAAAGGTTACAGATGCACAATGGAGGATTTAGAATTTCTTCAACACATGACAAATCATTCCTAGTGTAGCTATTTTAGGTAAGCTTATTTTTATGCATTGTGGGATTGTATTACTGTAAAACCTGACCTGTAGATTTTTACTTTCCCCGTCAGTTGCATCCTGAGTGTTCTGGACTCTGTCTTGCTTAAGGCTGCATACAAAGGTAAAAAAGCTAAAAGAATCACAACATTATTTAATCTTTAGTTTAATTTTAGGTAGACCACTTTATTAAAGTTCAGCATGCAGGCAGTACACTTAAGAGCTGTTCTAGTCTTCTGCCATTTAAATGTGTGTGTAGGTAGGAGTCTTGTCTTCCAATTTCATGTGCAGCACTGTCATTACATGTGCAAAAAAATGTTTCTTTTCCTTTTGCAAGGCAGCAGAGACAGCTGTTGGTATAAACTTCTGGCTGTGTTGAAAACTGACACCAGTTTCAAGTTTTACATGCCTTTTTTTAGATCAGAATTTGGTTACTAATCATGTAGTTTCATAAAAGTGATAGTTGTGCATCTCTCAAAGTTGAACCAGTGTATATTTGATTACATTAACAATAATTGTTTTAAGACTTACCTAAGAAAATGTTTGAACAGACAACTTCCAAAGCTGACTTTCACTGGACTATTATGTACAGTAGCATTCCTTAGTGCTAGTCTCCTCACATGTCAGCATCACCTATTATGTGCATTTCTTTGATATTTTAATGCTCAGAGACATCTGAAGTGTCTAGTAGAGTGTCAGGAGTTACTTCTAGCTTCTAATGAGACACCTGTGAACTCCCAGTACAGCAGGAGAAGAGAGTTTACTGCAAGCATAAGTATGTTCTATTTTCAGCAGTGTAAAACAAAACCGGTACAGTTGTTGAACACTTAATTCTTAGGGACAAAGGACAAATTTTTTTCATTTATGTGAAAAGCTTTACTTTTTTAGGACCTTTCCTTCCTAGAAATAATGTGCTATTTGTGTATTAACAGTATACTTGGCTTTTTAAGCATTTCTCACTGGCTTTCACTATTTCTGTAGAGCCTTTGTGGCAAAGTAATAAAACCCAGTATGCCAGGAGGCTTTTATGCACGCTAAGGTGTGCACAGCATTTTCTGGTCCTGCAACATTTTCAGAGATCTAGATACATTTTTGCTTCAATTTTTTTTCCTCCCCTCCATCACCCAAGATGCAGAAAACCTTAAACATGAAGCTGAGACAGCCCAAGCAGCAGTATTTGAGGTAAGTTTATGTTTCATGCAGAATGTATGATGTTCGTCAAGATGCAGAGACAGATAAGGAAACAGCAAGTGTTCTGCCTTACCCAGATGGCTGTCCCACTTGAGAACAGTCCCTCTAGAGCACTGGTCACTTAAAGCAAGGATGCTCGTGGGCGTGCTGGCATTCATTTTCTGAAGCCAAGTCTGCTTGTAATGTTACAAGGATGTTTCAGTTTGACAGGCACAGGACTAAGCCATTTAGGATCCAATTTTAATGTTCTACTTGCAAAAAAAAAAGTGATTATGATTTCCTTATTTTAGGAACTGTAGTGCTGGAATTAAGATAAAGAAGAAGAAAGCCTTGAAAGCAAAAGCAGCTTTTTTTTTTCAGGAATTGGAAAATAGCCATGGTCTAGTTGAAGAATAAACTAGCAGCCCCTCTACCACTACAGCAGTGGTGTGCCGAGTGGGGGGGCGAGGCAGCATTGTCTCTGCATGTAATAATACTGGACCAGAGCCTGACTTTCTCATTACACTAATGGGGCAGCTGCCTGTGCTGTGCCTCGTCACACAGGACTCTAGAGGCAGCATTCTGCCAGCAGCAACTAACTCCAGGGAAGCTCCCTGCTGTAAGTACCACTTGCCCCTGCAGCAAACGCTGGACACAAGGACCACTCTGGTAAGTGTCAGTTTACTACTTCTAATGCTTGGTGAGATGGGGTAGGGACCAACCTGTCCTCTGTGGGTGGTGGCCACATACACCTACTGCCAGGAAATGGTACAATGTCATTCTTGGAGGCAGGACATAACCCCCATTTGTAGTATGGTAACTCATAAATAACCCTTGCATTTCCAAACTACAAATGGATTGGATATAAGGTAAGTGTTAAATGCAAACATACTGAGTAATACGTATGTACAATTTATTTAAAATACTTTTTAACATACATATAAAAACCCCTCGCTATTTATACAGTCTAAGTTCTAGCAACATATACAAATACTGAGCAACTACAATACATGCTGAGGTAAGAACATACATTCTGGGAGAATACTCAAGCCAAACGAGATTGAAATATATTTTGTTTCCGTATGTCTTCACATGTATGACGTAGCCACTTAAATATACCTCTGCTTCTACTGTACGCAGGAGAATTCTAGTGTTGTGTGTCATGCAACTTGTATTCCGGAATCAATGTTTAACAGTTTGTAGCATACATTTTCAACCCAACTGTTACATATTCAAACTTATGTTCTTAGCCCTAGAAGATAACATGTTCAAAGCTGAGAGCAGGGAGCACAGCTTGGGACTAATGTATATCACAAAAGGGACTCATATTCTTAAAAACATCTATTCCAGTCAACAGCTGATGCTGCTCAGATAATGAAACTGTATTACAGTTGCTTAAAAAATAACCCACTGTAGAGAAACTGTTTAATTCTTACACCATCTTAGCCTACAGTATATCCACAGTTCTACCATACCTGACCTGCAGTAAAAATTAAATCCAAGTGTGTTAATTTTACTGACTTGAACACATCCATTTATTTTTATGGTAGATTATTTTTCCTAAGCCTAGACTGGTACAGTTTGAGAATGCAGAGGTTTCTTAACTTGGCTGGAATAAGTATGTCACATCTCGGTGCAAACAAATAACCTCCCACAAATAAAATCAGCTCAGATAATTTCAAAGTCATAGTTGCTGCTGCTGGGTCAGAACACTTACTTACCTGTTTAATCAAAACTACAAAGATTGCAGACTAGCTTTAACAAGCAGAAAAAGTTGCAATAACATCAAAAGTACAACTAGAGGCAGGAATTTGTTTTTTTATGAATGGGTCTTGTATCCCACCCTTACTTACATTCACATTTAGGCTTAGACACCCAAGTCTAAAAAAAAAAAAAATAAAAAAATCATTCTCAATGAATGAGAATGAATGATCAAAAAAATTGTAGAATTGGGCTTTAAGGTATCACAGAGTATGTAATAGCATATTCTAGGTGTTGAACAGGCCACAAGTAATTTTGGATTACTGAGTTTATATATAGCCCCTGTGCAAACAAATTTTCAAGTGATAAGGTAGGATACCGTACTGGTATAAAGACATGGTGGCAGCCCCCTTGAAAAGTATTTTAGTTTGGATTTGGATGTTCTTCACCTAGTTTAAGGACCCTGGGCAATAAACAAGGCTCACTTGAATTACATCACAGAAACGAACAGTAACCACTGAAGTCCATAAAACTGGGCTAATGTGTAGGTAGGGGGGGGTTCACACATATAAATGAATTCAGCATCCTCCCAACAGTGCTGTTACAATAAAAATAAAGCATTTTTATTGTGGGTTTTTTCTACTACTTAGGTTAAAAAGCTGTGCTTTGTTTCTAACAAGACAAAAAATGGCAACTATGACATCCAAATTGTTTTCGTTTCATGATTACCTATCTAAAACTAGTCTACATTATCCCAGATAGAAGATTGACTGCAATGTTTTCATAGTAGAGAACATTGGAACATTCAAAGGATACAAAATTCCATTAAATGCTTCTGAAATGGACACTCTTTGGAACAGTACTGGTTCTCTTGCAAAGGTTTTGGAATCTTTTATACTTCTGATAAGAACAATCATAAGAAAAGCCCTAAGGCTAAAGTTTTTCAGTTGTGCTAAAACGTACCATATGTGCTAAATGCGCGTATAACACAAACTGTGCACCATTAGAATATTTGTGTGCTTCCTTAAGCACTCACAAAAGTATATACATATCTTTCTTTGTATATGCTCACATCTTAACACACAATATACTCCGGGGGGAGTGGGGCAGGGAGAACCTTTCTGAATTCAGTCACCTCAGACACCTGGATGCTTCTTGCACACTGACCATCAGGAAAGTCTGAATTTGAGGCAGACGCTATTCAGAGTAGCCTTCATTTAGTAGGGAAAAAAGTAAAATCAGTTGCTATGCAGTTTACTTGTATGACTTAGTCTGTGCCTCCTGGACCCCTACAAAGGAACAAGACTGAGTAGCTTAAGGAAACGGGGCAGAAAACTGATTCTACAGACAGCAGATCTAACAAAAATGGTGGGAACCTTCTGAGGAACACACAGCTGATGACTCCTAATCCTGTGAACAAAAGCTGAAATAACGTAATTTAGAATCAAAACTATTCTGTGCCATTAAGTTAGTGGGATTTTTCCCATCAGTCCTGACTAGTTTTTAAAGTCCAAAGTTATGCAGGGATTTTGTAGGGTAAAATGAATTTTAGAAGCTATAGTGCTTACATATAGATCTTCAAAAGTTAGGAGCTTTGGGTTTTGGGTTTTTTCCCCCCTAGAAATAGTACCATTAGCAAGAAATTACTGGCTTTCGTACTTTAAACTGTTTCTCCCACTTTATCATTCACTTCTATGAATTACTGAAGCTAATCTTGAAGAGGTCTTCTCTCATGTCTGACAGACAATTGTACAGTAGTAATAAAAAAGTCCACGGTTTTGTAGGAGATGAGCTGTAGTTATATATACAGCTTAAAGAAAGGCAAACTTACTGGTTTCCCAGACCTCCCATACCACATCTTTTGGTTCAACATTGTATTATTTAAGACTAACAATATCAAAACAATGCGATTAAAAAATGAAACTGTCAGCTTTATAGAACTGGCTTTTAAAAACAAGCCATCATTCTACCTTACTCGTGAGCTGACTTAGTTCATCCTTATTCCCAGTGGAGTGGGCCACGCTCTGTGGTACCTGGTACACCAATTCGTTGGCAGCAGCTGGCCCTGATTGCCCCTTTGGTGTATCGTACAGCACCTGTGCTGATGACGTGCTGTCTGTCCTAGATAAGAGTTTATTGTAAGTTCCAACCAGTGGAGGAGCTTGATTCCCTGCAGCTTTGAAGGTGGAAATGGAAGGAACGCCAAGAGGTGTGCTGGGATGGCTGGACATGTCCATGATTATTGGAGTAGCATATTCTGGTCCAGTTATAGGTAGTGGTTCAGCATAAGCATGGTAAACTTCTTGTATGGGTGAATTGTAAGGGTCCAAATCGGCGTAACTTGCTTCTTTCCCTTCCTCTGGTTTAAAGGTTGATCTCTGATGAAGTGTGCCGACGATTCCCCCTACCAGTGGCTGAGCATACTCTGTGTTGAAGGCCCCAACAAAACAAAATAAAACCACACTTACTTAATGGAATTTTTTTTTTACAGTGGCATCACATTAAATACAACCTGTCAATAGTTTAACAGAAATTATTATCCGAGATCAAACCAGTGGTCCGTCTCTGTCTGCCAGTGCCAATCGCTTTGGAAAAAAAGTCATTTCCACCCAATAGTTAAAGCCACTAGGATAGCAACAACATCCCAAATTCTCAGGTTTATGCTTCTTCCCTTGTGAGCTACAATTTCCCATGCTGTAAATCTGCCTCAAAACAATTTTTTTTTTTTGAAACATTCTTCCCTACAAAATTAAAATTAAATGAAATTATCCTGCCTGCCTTTGATGAAAAGTAGTCCTTGGTGTAGAACCTTTGTCCTCTGAGGGGGGAAGCCTGCCTGCGCTCAGCTGAGATGTTTCAGTTCAACAGATAATCTGAGTTACAAAAACTGGAGGTGAGAAACCTGGCTGGCTGGGTAAAAACAGACAAGGAGCCAAAATGAGAAAAGTAATTCTGCCTGCTGTGAAGCCGTAACTCCTGCACGTCTGCATATTTCTGCCATCAGGATGTAAGCGCAGAACGAGAGGCATAGTCAGGCATCTTCCTCTAATGACTGGTGGGCATATGCCATTATCAGTAACTCCTCCTCT